ATTACATCTTTTCATGGTTAAACTCTGGGTGGGAAAGAATGTTGTCGGTGCTTTTAGCTTACAGTTGAACATTCTGGACTGTTACTTAGTCCTGAAATTGCCTTCAAGTGATTACTTCGCCTCTTATCATATTAGGAAGACTGTGCCGGATGCTTTGCTTGTTAAATATTTTACTGGCAGAGTAAGGACAAATCTTCCCCTCTAGGGTATGTAAGCGGTTGCATGCTGTTGTTTTGCGAAACCCTAGCTACACACATATTCCTTCCAAAAGCGACAGTTTTTATCTTTGCGTTAAATTTTCCAGATGTACCGGAAAGTATAATGTAGCTTGTTAAGTAAACTCCACGATTAACTAAAATTTGTTCATCGACAGAGGCAGGGTAAGAATAAGCCCTTTGTATCTAACACACATTTCATTCGTTTGTTGCCCTGATGTGCGGAAGTTATTTTACGGAGCTGGCGGGGTAATTGCCTTTTTGAAGACATAAAAGTCCAACAATGCAGACTGGTTTGCTTTTTTATATAGGGGGCGATTTTAAACTCAGTCATCCACGAGAACAGGAAAGAGCAAAACATCAAGAAAATACTGTTTAGCAATGTGCATTTTAATCTAAACATTCCTTTGTATTTACTAAAATATTTTACTCAGTATCATGCCGAGGTCATTTTTGCGAGATCCAATACTGATGAATAGCATTCTGGCAATTGACATGCAATGGCGGAAACAAATTTAAATTAGATACATATCTTTTTGTTTTAAGACGTCGTTTTATTTTATGCCAATATGTGAACGCATTCGTCCCCGTGGTAAGTAATTATATTTGCTTGCAGAGTAGATCTGAAACAATCTGCAACATCGAACATCATATTTAAAAATGGCCGGTATGAAAATGACTCTTTTAAATTGAAACTGAGCTTTGTTTTTCTTTGGTATGTTAGCTTTGTTTTTCTATATTAACTCAATCGGCCCGGCGAATTCCAGTTTTTATAGTAACCTTTACCGAATCAGAAGGTAAAGCAAACCGTATTTCAGCTCGTAAATTTGCAAGTAAACATATAATTGGGTTACAAAATAGGAGATGGGCTGGCTTGAAATACAGCTCTTCAAGTGTTTTTCAAATCATTGCCAACGGGAATGGGATTTCTATCGGAAAATTGCAAAGTGTGATACTGCATACATCAATATCTAAGCCTCACTGGCAAGAAAATAGTGAAGAAAGCAACTTTCTAATTAATGAGGGACTTACCTAGTGACTACAAAGTCCAGAACTGAGAGCGGAACTTGAAGCCATTACACAAGGAAGAGCTCAGTTTAAAGACGAGAAAATGCCGGATAAAACAGGCTATGTATCAACCTGCTGGAATTCCAAAAGGATCGAGTGAAAAAGAAACATCAAGTTATAATAAAAACAATTATTATATCATTTGAAGTTTTAGAGAAAGCTTCTAGTGATTTATCTAAGAATTGGAATTCGGTTGTACTTTGCTCGTTCATCTCAGTGGATGGTCGAAATATATACAATTCTTGACTTGAAAGTTTAAAAGAGAAAAGCCCGTGGAACGAACAAATCGCATCATAGAAACGGTAAACAATTCCGGATTTTGAGAAAATTTCACAGGTTTCATCTCAACGGATACGAAGTGTAATAAAATAGCCCTTCCTTCTTGTGTTGATCCTTCCTGAGAACTGAAATGGAGTTATTAATTCGCTGAGATAACAAGCTAACTAAATCTTAAAATAGCGAAAAAAATATCGCATCACTTCTCTTTGGTGGTGAAATGGAGTGATCATGACTCCCGATTTTTGTGTGAGAGAAATTTTCCAAGTAGAAGGAAAAACAAAGAAGAAATTGATGGGTAATTATGACAAGATGATATACACTTTTATGTTCAGAAAATACAGCACCACTCGTTCAGTTTGAGCTTCAGTGACTAGAAATGGACAATTCAAACTGTAATACCGACTTATACTTAAAAAATACCTTATCTTGAAGTCCGAGAAGAAATTACGGAAAGATTAAATGGAGGTGGAAATGAAGAGAGAGTAAATAACTTCATGATTAGAATTGAACATTTCAGTGCTGTTCAGTTCACGCTGGTTTTAAAGTTATTAACAATTATTGGTTTGAATCGTATTTGTTCGACACCAATATTCTGCCTTTTACCAATCTTCGGAGTTTTCGTCTTATTCTTGGTATGAGAAGTTATTCCCTTTCGTTTTTTTACGTGATCTTTGAACGACAAAGCCAGCCTTTGTGGGGCGATTGCTGATCAGGATTTTAAGTTGCATTAATCATTGACTTGAGGTTTCATGGATTAGAGTAATGCTTTATGTACGTGGTACTGCCCAGCCTCGTTGTCTCTTTAATTTTATGATTATATTTTTTTCTAACCTTCGACATAACAGTGCCGATGAACTTTTAACTTTTGTCAGATGTATAGTTTGGGGAACGAGTCCTTTCAATAATTGTGAACACTTTGTTGCAAACATGAATGCACTTAAATAATGCTTCATACTACTCTGTGAAATCTTGATTAATTGTCCTTCCACCTTTAAAGCTTGAGTATTGTTCAAGTTAAGAACCAAGTACTCTTGCACTGGAAAATAGTCCGGCGTTTTAGATCGCTTGCTATATGTTGACTTGACTTAGTAGAAGAAGACTGTGAACCCCGGCAGCAGCATGAATCTCATATTAATGCTAATAACTAAAAATCGGGAGAAATCGGTTCTTTTGGAGAAAGCAGAAGTTCATAATCTACAAACTTGACCTGATGAAACATTTTTCTGAGGATAATCGAGATATACACCTCCGTTGATCTGCATGCTGGTAGCGGTTTAAGATCTCTACTCAGTGTCTTCGGCGGTGTATAACAGTCGAAGGTCACTTAGGAAAAGTTGGGTGGAAAAAACACAAGAAAAAGCTCATGTTCAAGTTAGCCAATATTATTTCTATTTTATTAAGAAGACTCACTTTCGTAACATTTTGAAAATCAAGTGTAGATGACTTCCTAAATCACATTTTTCCGAAAACATTTCACGAAGGATTTCGCATTATGTTTTCTTCACTTATAGCTCAAAATGGCTGCCATTGATTACTGCTATGAAATGTTCTACTGGTACAGAACAAGTTTAAAACGTGATAAAAACCTAGTCCACTAAATAATCGTAGAACCCAAGGTCACTAAATTTGCTGGTAACTTTTGTGAGGATGGAAAAAAACGAATTCAAAATAAAACAGTCTATATAGTGATATAAGAAGCAGATGTTGTTCACTCCTGAATGTTCTGCAAAGCTCGCATAAAATAGGAACTTCCTCGCATTGTTTTACCTGTGAGTGCCGTACGCTGTTCTCCTCCGTTCATGTGTGTCTTTATAGAATTTTCATCCGCTCCAGTCATTATTTTCTTGAGAATCAAAGAGTATTCAAACACTTCGCATTTTGGTCCTCGTGCAGAACAGCACGCGCTCTGAGCAACTTCCTTGAAACTGCAGCGGGGTAACATCCTTACGATTCCAGTCTTCCAAGAGTCTCTTGGTCTTCTTATATTAAGTCCTTATTTTCCGTAGTTACTATTGTGTTAGAATGTTTGCAATTCCCTTTTCTTGTAAGTACAGGGAAGTTCCTGTCATTTCGACTCGCACATTCTCTTATCGCGTGAATTCTCCTCATGTTTCTGCTTTGAGATGGCTTTGCATCGTTTCTTAATTTTTCGAATTTTTTCAAATCCCCCGTCTTGGATAACACCTTATTTCATAACAGCCTGCAGGAGGGACATCCTTAAAGCTGTAAAGGTGTTTTCGGCACACATACGCTGGCATATATATCTGAGTCTTTTCGGCGTGAAGGTGTCTAGCTTCTCGGGGACACGCGTTGTTGGAGGGGGATCAGTTGTGAAATTAGAGGAATGTACAAATCATCCACTGACTTTACTAGGAAGTGTAACAGGTGAACGTCTTGGAGTCTACCAAAAATTACGAAGTAGACCCCAAAACATCTGCATTGAGTTCATGTCCACCTGCGGTCTCCCACTGGGTATAATTTCTCCTTTAATTTAAAATAATTAACGCGTCAGAAGTGGTTTCCTCGTAAGAAGAGCATAAAACCCAAGATAAGCAAAGTACTCAGCGAAAAAAGGTCAAACAGGCGTTCAGGAAGTATTGCTGGATGTCCCGCCATACTTAAGGACTCTTATCTCAGTTGGACTTAAAAATTTTAGCTTTTCACGCTAAGAATGAAAATCTAGGAATTTATTTATTTTGTAAAAAAAATGAAAAGCCAACGGTACCATGGAAAATTACTACTTGAGAGATTTCATCTGAATTGGCACTCCAAAGGGTTTCGTCCACAGACTCAAAAGTTAAAAATGCCGACTAAAGAAATATCACCATGCGAGTAGAAGTTAAGAGGTTTCAATGAATGGGTCAGTACACCATGGGTTTCACCCCCACAGACTGAAAAGATGGAACTGCACAGGAAATAAGTAGTACCGAGTAAAAGTACTCCTGAAGAGGATTCATTTGAAAGGTATAACCACAATATTTCGTTCAAAGCCACAAATGTTAGAACTACACATTAAAATGTCTGGAGTCTGGAAGTGAACGGTTTAATAAGTTTAGGATTAAGACTGGGATCAAAAGGCTTCAGGGGCGACGAGGTCGCGCACTGGTAGGCGTTTTTAATACTTGCCAACTCACTAAATTATCAGAATTATATCTTAACTGCAGCTGAACGCAAACGAAATACAGAAGAACAGAGCGAGAGGACTGGTTTGCAAAACTTACAACCGAATCGCGTTCGCGCGTTCGGTCGGTAGAATTAGAAAAATGTTGGCTTTTTCAGTTTTAATCAATTCAGTAGGAATCTGAGATTTTAGATGCTTTTTTATACGCATTTTATCAGGAGCCCATATTGATGGGCTCCTGTCTTTGCTTGTTACATGTTCGTGACTGTTTTGCGGTTTGCGAAGACATAAAAACTTTTTCATTGTTATATTTTTACCTGTCACACAGGGGTCCTGGGAGACGGAAGAAAAATCCCGACATTCCACCGGAACTTCTTAACAATCCTTTCAAGCATTTCAAAGTGGATAATCACACGGACAGATCTGTTAACCTGTCAAATGGAGAAGCAATAAAAACAGACGATACAAACAAGTCCACGTCCCACGATTCATCCCCAAGCGATGGCGTTACCATTTCTTTTGAGGGTCCACGAGATGCTAATAACAATGCAAGTAGCACCGCACACAAAGACTTGCAGTTTAAAACGCCCGTCTCCCGTGTTGCGAACATGACGTCACCACAAGCAGCTATGAATCACACTCCACCTCATCTGCACGTGAGCCCGCGATTCACAACAACGCACGTGATTCATTCACCAACTAACACGTCATCATCGCGCATTGTCAGTCCGCCCAGCGGAGTTATTTTGGCGCCAAATTCCCAGTCATGCGCTTTCAACTTTCCTCCTAGACCTCACGTGACTTTGAGCCCGCAAGGAAATGTGCTAAGCCCGCAAACCAATGGAGTTCCACCAACAAGCGGTGCGTCAACTGTAGCTACCCATAGTCCAGGGCGATCGCCAGCTGTTGGAGACGCGGTTAACGGTGAGGCGTCAGTACCTCATGTCAGCAGTACTGGTACATCAGAGCATGCAGCTGAGTTTAGGGCAGCTGCAGCCAATGATACCGGTTCAGATATATCAGCGTCTTCCCCGCACGTGCTCTCACGTGAGGTTTGTAGAATCTGATTGTCTTTTATTATAGAGGTTTGTCTTCAAATGCTTGTATGCTTGTGTTCCTTGGTTTGAGTAATAAAAAAGAGTGCCCTTTACTTTTATACTGATTTGCCTTTCATTTGAATTTGCAGCCTGAATATAGAGAGCCTGGATCCACAGGTCAGTAGCGAGATAGTCTGTACTTTTGACAAAACAATTATCCTAAGTATTATAAAATTTGAATTTTAGTGCTGATCGACAGAGAATGGTTTTAAGATCTTTAAGAAAAACCTTTGGAAATTCCGCTAATTAAGAGATGTTCTTCGTTGCAGAGAGTCTTCTATTTAACATTCAAGGTCTTTTGAAGGTGGCGGCAGAAAATACCAGGCAACATGAGCGACAGGCTGTTTATGAAAAGAGTAAGTGAAATACCATCGCATTTTAAGACCTTGGTATGAATAACGTCCAAATTTATCGCGAAATGTTAGACTTTTATAATACTTCGCTCTGTCGCTACTGCGTTTGACGATAACTGCTTTCGAGACTAAGAATCTTGGGGTTTTTTTTTAAGTGGCGTAAATTGCAAAAAAAAGACGTGTAACGAGATTAAGGCGAACTCGAGGAGTTACTTTAACACGGCTTTCAAAGCCTTCGTTTGCTTTGCTTTTGAATTTTCGGCGTCCTTGTCCTTTCAAACAGCAATACTGTGAAAGTTATGGCTCCTGTGTTGACAAAAAAACTTGATGATCCCAGAGAAAGGATAAGTGAGCAAACCTTGGTTTTACCCGTCGTTATCATTTTCTAATTTATTGTGAAAGTGTACAACTTTACTTAACCCATAAAACAATACATCGGTGTTTGCTGTCGTACTTACTATAGCTGTTGTATGTTTAGATGAACTCCGTCGGCATATTCATCGTGAACGCGAAGCTCGCGAGAAAGCTGAAAGACAGGCAGCTGCACTTCAGAGAGGAAAAGGTACAATTGAACTTTAAGTACATCGTTTTTTTCTACGGTCTAGCTAATGTGCTCCTCGTAAATAGCGTTTCAACAATAAATACTGCGCCAGGCGAAGCACGTGTTGAGCAGATATTTAAACCGAGAGGGTAAGTCATAGGAAAAGTTGTTCTTCTTTGTCTCTTGCTTACTACCTAGGTTTGGGGTATGTCGTAATTTCATTTATTTGCTTGCAGCTCTCCTCCAGAAGAAGTTGAAAAAAGAGAAGAGGACAAAGCGTAAGCTTGCTGAGCGACTGATGGGTAGGCGGCTTCAATTTCAATCTTCCACAAAATTTTGATTTGTCCTTCATGGCTCATGCAGCTGTTTCGTTCCCAGCTGTCAGTACTAAGTAACATTGTTCTTGTTCTCGTTGCAGAGGAGCAGCACCGATGTGAGCTTCTGGAGGAGCAACTGAAAGAATCCACTCAAAATGCGCTTAAACAGCGAAATGGTAAGTGACCTGAAATAAGTGAAGAGTTTTTCTCCTGCCTTCTCTCTCACACACTGATCTCCCGCTCGTGGGAGTCCGTGTGCTGCAGCCGAGATCTTGAGAAGTGTTTTCTTGTCCAGTAAAGTTAGCCGTTTACACAATCTCTTGATTTTGACCCTTAACGTGTTTTTCCTTTGTAGATGAGTTAATTCAAGAAGTTGAGAGAGAGCGGACTGCAAAGATTGAGGCCGAAAGGAAGTTAAAAGGTAAACTATACACGCGAAAACGTTTATCGAATTTTCACAGTATTACGGCTCATTAGCCTGCCTAGCAGGCGCTTGTGCCTACTACACAGGCTTCGGGCCCCTCCGGGCTCCGGGCATATTTTCTACTTGACTAATTTAGGCTCTAACCTCTCCTTACGGACACCTCTACAATACAGACACCTCTCTATTACGAACAGTTCGTTTGGTCCCAGAACTGCCAAAAATCATACATTCCCTACCTCTATAATACGGACACGTCTGTAAAGCAGACACTTGGTTCTGTCCCTTTGGTGTCCTTATTAAAGAAGTTTGACTGTAATTATACTCACGCAAGGCTTCTCTGACAACTAACTTCGAGAATTTTACGTGTTATATCTGTTA